CCCGTAGACTCGTCCTTGGGATGTAAATTTGTCTCCGGGAATCTTAAATAGATTTCAATTCCTTTCGATCTTTTACAAATCAATTAGTTTAAATATGTATGACAGGAATACGATAACCTCTGACAAGTTGCTGGTAGCCTCTGGCCGCTGTACATGCGATCAGAAATACTGTCACTCGATCTTTGATAGCCACGCGATATACCACTAGTTGAGCGAAATAAGGTCATCATTACATTGTGGGGGAATCTAACATAGAGTTTGCTTACTGTTAAACATTTGTCATATAACATCAGTCAAAACTAATATGATGACGTGATATATTAAAACTAACATGATACGTAATGTCACAATAAATTACATACTACAACTAATTTGATGGAGTAATGAAATTAAAATAAATGATGACGTAATATATAAAAGCTAACATGATACGTAATGCAACTATATATCATTTATTACAACTAACATGATGATGTAAAAAAAAAAAAAAACTGAATGAGTTAATAAAATATTTTGACTATTCTTGAACATCGTTTTCTCAAAAGTGTTTTTTTTATCAAACCGTTTGATTTTACGACTCTTTCGTTCTCTTATTATGAGATCTTTCTCAGTTTTCCAAAAACGAAAGACAAGTGGCTATACACATATATGGTTGTAAATCCTTTTTTAACATACTGTGAAAAACGCAATAAACGTACTTAGGATGAAATGATGAGTTTGATTGAGTTTCAGGTTGACAATATCTTTCTTTGCTGAATTCAGTAGCAAGATTTTCCAGGAGACTGGGCGTTCCTTTGGGGAACCAGGAGACTGTGGGCATTCCTATGGGGAACTAGGAGACTGTGGGCGTTCCTATGGGGAACTAGGAGACTGTGGGCGTTCCTATGGGGAATTGAACTTAAGTTTTATATGGGGCTGAATTAACTGAAAAGCGTTTCACGTCAAGCCGCGTATATGTGACGGACTATCTTTGAAATGTTTTGACCACGTCGATCGTATATACCCTCAGGGACACTACCAACAACATCAGCCGCTTTCCCCGATCTTGACTTTCAATATGACCAACTTGGACTATTTACTTATATGCTGTATGATAAGTGTTGCGATTCCGATTTTCCAATCGTGAACTTTCCGTTTCTTGATAGAAGCATCCTTACATCCACAACTCACGGCGTTAAGATATCGCAGTTTATGATATAACATTTTTCTCGATTGATGTCGACTGCTGACGGACCAATATATAACACTGGTTTACCAGCCATGCAGTTTGTTGTAGACTACCTGACAGATATATTGTCTCCTCCATCATGTACTTATTTGAAATGAAATGTTTTGAATATGTTCATAAGTGTACCTTGTTGTCTCGTTGGTACTATCCTGGTTCGAGATTTGAGGATGTGACATTACAAAGATTTGACCAATATTAATTTAGTGGTTGTCGCCGATGAAGTAGAAGACGATTACTACCGGGACATCTTATCTCATTTTCCTTCTGTATTTTCAGAAGTCTCCATGTAATTCTTTCATATTTTGCCTTTGTTTATCGATTTTGAGTTCGAATTGCCGTTTTGTTGACACCATGGTATTATCCAGTTGATATGCTGCTGTATGGTGCGCTATTCGTTATATTGTTCTATTGGAGCAAAAAAGGGAATAAATAATCCAAATGTGTTCTTGCTTCAGGTGAATGATGTTCGTTCATCGTATCTTCGGAGCCACTTAAACAACACACGGAACCACCGAAAAAACACATAGCACCACCGAAACAGGACACTGAGGCCCCGACATAACAACAAAGTCAACGCAAGCATTGAGCTTCCTTATGATTGTGTACCCTATTCTCTTACCGAGGAATCACATACACCCACGTCGTTGCCTTATTTAGAGTCGATCGAAAGAAATAACAAGTCATCTTAATGTCCGTCAAATTACTTTAGATGACTTAATATAAAGTCTTTAATCCTAATAAGTGATAGCCATTGTGTAAAGGTGTCCCAATCAATATCCGCGAGAAAGTAATGACCGAACTAATTTATAATTCAATTACCTATTCCTTTCAAAGTAGGAACTATACATAAAGCATGCTTGTTGAGTTTAAACAAAACGAGCAGACCATATCACGTTTCTGTTTTTATTTATTAAATCACAATCTATTTCAATTTACAAACATCACAAAACAATTAATAAATACATTTTCTATCAAAGCACTAACGCACACTTGATACATACACAACAGGTATTACCTAATTAGGTATACTCACACGGTCACGGAGATACAATTCCACGGGGATCGCTTATTATGCCCGTGCTGGATAATAACCCTATGGGGGCGACCTCTACTCTACTTACACTAAACAACAGACAAAATGCACCTCCTACGCCGTTTGTATCTCAACACTAAAGTAAGATATATCAGAAATGACAATACTGGTGCACCGCCAAACCATAGGCTGAGTAAAAGAAATGTTGACTAAAAGTGTTTACGTACGAATTTGATAATATTTTGTCCATGTACAAACACAATGATTACGCCATCCACTGTACGTGTATATAAAGGCGACAATCACATGCATTTGGGATAAAATTATAATATACATAAATCTACAACATTATCGAGTATGTGGTATATATATATACAAATGTATCAAGCGATTCCTCCGACACCCACGTAAGTCGACATCTTTTCTTTGGTGTTCCAATTTTAATTACGTCCGTATCAGCAAGACCTACTGACGCTGTGCGTTATCAGAATAACTCATATTACGTGTTGTCCAATAGTCCTAACCAAACTAACGAACAATTGTAAATATAGTAAGTCACGTTTCTGAGACCTTTTTGGAATTTGTCGCTTTTCGAAACGACGTGACACCAACAAAACAAATAATGAATTCCTTCAAGTATTCGTTAAACAGTGACACAAACTCCTTGTTACCTGTACGCAGGAACAGTACAAAACGTAGATAAAATCAACATGACAACGAAATCACTCGCATTTATGAGAAAGTCCTATTTAATTGATTATATAACAATTATTCTTAAAAAGTGATGACACAGACAGCTTTGTGTTCTCTGTATTGTGTTCGTCTTATCATTTAAAAGTAGAATGTCAGCAATATACTAGTAAATGCAATTGAAAGGAATCCTACTTTTAACAAATTATTTACCATGTGTAACTATGGTAACGCATTGTCTTGGTTTGACAAGTGATATAATATTATATAATATGCAGTGCTGTGTGACTTTGAGATGTAACGATGGTTACACTTCACTGTTATGCGTGACCAGCAATCTAGTCAGCAGACAATAATACAATATGAAGTTAATATACGTGTCTAATGATTAAAGTATACTGTTAATTGTCGTTGTTCGTTATTGTAAAATAAAAACAAAAGGTTGCACACGCCAGTCGGACTCATCACACTTATGACAATCGCATGGTGAATGAAGCTTTGTCGGACCAGACTGGTCATCGCGTTGAAGCACAGACAGTAGCTGATACAATTAACTTAAGGTAATGAAGCATTTCTAATTTCAGGGAATCAAACTAATGTATACTTCTATAGAAACAAAACTGTATGATAAAAGTTGGTATGGTTGAATGCAAGGGTTGTTTAGGTTTAATATTTGTCGATGTGTCTATTTTCCATATTTTCCTCTATATATGTTTGGGTGTTTAGACTAAGGACAAGAATGGAGATAGCAGAAAATATGGCTGTATATAAATAATTACACTCACTGTAAAACAACAACTCAAAAAACCCTATTGCCGATCGAATACCACATTGATATATTTATATATAATAATAGTATTGAATTGAAACTTGACATTGTATTCTCATACATTTATGTAACGTGTTGTGAGAAATCACATATAACTTCTATTAACAAATACACTGACATTAAATATATTGCCGTTCAGATACAATATTGACATATACATATAACATTTGTTTTGATATTTGATATATACGTATACATGTGCATTATATGTGGTATGGGAGTGAGTCAATACCGATGTATTTGAGGTAGTTGACTTTATCCAAATAATTTTAATCAGCAAATGTCTCGAATACGTACGATTGTATATATGTGTTGATGGAACTTCCTGAATATCGTTTTTACAATAGAGTTTTGACTTGACTGATATTAAAGAGTAACTATCCCAAACCAAGACAGCCACCACCTTACCAATCATATTCACTGTGACTTTCATATTGTCAACCTTCATCTTACCCATCATATCTAGGACAACCTTCTTACTTGAAACCATACACTGACCAATCGTATCCATGGTAACCTTTATATAGGCAACCGCAAACTAACCACCAACTTACCTATCATATCCATGGTAACCTTCATATCGGAAACCACCAACTTAGCTATCATATCTTTGGTAACCTTCCTATTGGAAACCACCAACTTACCTATCATATCCATGGTAACCTTCATATTGGAAACCGCCAACTTACCTATCATATCCATGGTAACTTTCATATTGGAAACCACCAACTTACCTATCATATCCATGGTAACCTTCATATTGGAAACAAACAGCTAACCTATCATATCCATGGTGACGTTCATATTGGAAACCGCCAACTTACCTATCATATCGATGGTAACCTTCATATTGGAAACCATCAACTTACCTATCATATCCATGGTAACCTTTTTATTGGAAACCACCAACTTACCTATCATATCCATGGTAACCTTCCTATTGGAAACCACCAACTTACCTATCATATCCATGGTAACCTTCATATTGGAAACCGCCAACTCACCTATCATATCTATGGTAACCTTCATATTGGAAACCGCCAACTCACCTATCATATCCAGGGTAACCTTCATATTGGAAACTTCCATTTGCCTATCATATCCATGGGAACATTCATTTTGGCAAACACCAACCCAACTTGCCAACAATCCTGTTGACATCCATACAGTTTTAGAACGACATATTGATAACCCTTCATTTTCAGAGCGTATTATTACTCTTGGTTCCTTTAAAATGAAATTTACATACACCCGTATGTTACTTTTATAGAAAAAGAACAATTAGAAAAAGCGATCGGTATCGGTAACTCAACTGTACGAGTCATGCCGATCAATCTAATACTGATTTGATTGAGATCATTCTCTTTAGTTTTCTAAGACATGTAAATAAGTATCGATAACAGTTGTGTAGGTATTACTGACTCTCCACATAACATTTATAGTTTTGCACGTGTTGCATTCATTGCTAGTCTTCCTAACGTTTTTGTTTTCAATTTCTTCCTTTGAATAACAGCTCATACTTTTGATATGTATCTTTTGACTTTCCTCACACTAGAATTCCATTTGAAATATTGCTGTTCAAAGCTTTCCTCGGAGAAAAACAGCACAGTTCACACAAACTGTTCACCGATAATCACTGATCATCAAAAACGCCGACTTTAAAGGTCGCTTAACTATATTCTGATATAAAGTACTCTTTCTAAACACTGGTTAATATTCGATGTTTTCTACAAATGTTTTTCGTCAATGCTTATATCAAGCAAACTGTTGTCTGTGCTCGTCATTGTCGATGGATAAGAACACGCACATTCTAAGCTCGTTTGATTATAACTTGGCTACGGGAGTACCTCAGTCTAACAGTCGTTTGATTATAACTTTGCTACGGGCGTACTTCCGTCTAATAGTGTTTTATCTGTGATCTCATTCATTGGTTGTTCATCCAGACAACCGTTTGTATAATCCTTCTGTCGCTCCTGGTTCTTCCGGTACTGTTTGACGATGCGAGTTATCTCCTCTGCTGGTGGGGCGATGATGACGACGAGCGCCATGATGACAGCCCAAGCCTGGGTAAACCCAACCCAGACCACGAACTGTGCCTCGTCCATCATCGGGAAACTTGCCATAATGCCAGGGATGATAAAGGCGACGACGACGATGCTGCACGTCCCGCCAACATACGCTGTCATCTTGGCCTTACGGAAAGTAAACGACATTTGTTCGAAGGTTGGTTTGGTATCGTAGTGGAGCCCTTTGAGCTCCTCGCGGTAGTTGAGTTCCCACGGATTGAGCGGGTTATCAATGTCGTACAGCTTCTGCCATTCGACGTCCTCGTCGTAACTCGTTTTAATTTTATTGGTGAATATTGACACGACTATGCAACCGATCAAACTAGCACCAAAGCTGCAACAAGTGCCTGCTAGAATGGTGTAATCCTGTACGGTGTTGATGAGGAAGTTACTAAGTCCTCCCTCGTACATGGTCGCGACCGACAGGGTAGCCGTCACACCCAAGAGCAGACCAGCCAGCCCTCCTGAAATGACAAAAGAATATACCACATCAATCATGAAGTCAAATTTATGCCAATGAAAGAGCTCAGCATCCAAGCTCGCAACTCAGACTGAAACCATTACCAGTTTTCTTCAAAATAATTGCTTTCTGGCAACTTTCCGTTCTGTTGCATTTAAAATAAACATGTTTCACAACCGTTTTGCTAAATAATTTTTTAATATGTGCCGCTTAACTTTTTCTTTTGACTTTTATCAATATTTTTACCCTCCTTTTATTTGGAGAAAGATTTCATATGCACTCATACGGACATTTTAAATAATACTATGTAATAATCACCAACTCGGCACAGCGCTGTTTAGTCAATTGTTTGTAGGTGTATGCAGACCACAACACTGGCCATTTACACTCATGCATGACAAACGATACAGGTATTTTCAAAAACTCTCAAAACACTTCAAAATAGTGTTTGTGTAGTAAATAGATTTATTGTTTCGCCTTACTTGTAGATATAATATAGATCAGAAGCAGTGTTTGCAGATGAATTATAATTATATAGTTTTACTTATTTGCAGGTCAATTATAATAAGGCTTAGCTCTGTTATCTTAAAATAAGATCTATCGTATTAGAACCTTGCGTAATTATTTTAGACTGTTTAATAAAGAAGCATTCACCATTATTTGTAGATCTATTTTATAGCCTTTCCGCATTAATTATCTGTAGGTCTATTTTATAGCCGTTCAGTATTACTTATCTGTAAATCTATTGTATAGCGTTTCAGCATTACTTATCTGTAAATCTATTGTATAGCCTTTCAGTATTACTTATCTGTAGATCTATTGTATAGCCTGTCATTATTACTTATCTGTAGATCCATTGTATAGCCTGTCATTATTACTTATCTGTAGATCTATTTTATAGCCTTTCAGTATTACTTATCTGTAGATCTATTGTACAGCTTTTCAGTATTACTTATCTGTAGATCTATTGTGCAGCTTTTCAATATTACTTATCTGTAGATCTATTGTACAGCTTTTCAGTATTACTTATCTGTAGATCTTTTTTATAGCCTTTCATTATTACTTATCTGTAGATCTTTTGTATAGCCCTTCAGTATTACTTATCTGTAGATCTTTTGTTTAGCCTTTCAGTATTATTTATCTGTAGATCTATTGTATATTGCAGAGTCTAGCATTATTTACTTGTACATTTATCATCATATTGCTTGGTATAAATATTTTTATTATGAAGTAGTGGTATTTCTATGAAAAATAATTTATTTCATTGACAAAAGGTCCAAAGTCATGAGCAGCTCGAAGTTCTGAACCTAACTGTTCAAGGCATGATTACCGTAACACAAAATAAACGCAAAAAAATAAACTTGTATAATTTCAAAATATATTGATATATAAAAACGAAAGATGTTTATATAGTAGAATTAACAACAATCGTTAAATGACAACTAACACAAAAAGTGTATAGTTCTCATTTTCGGTATCGCCTCGTTAATTTTATCAAGACTATAACAACTAGACCCTGCTCTTTACCTAAATAACCTATTATAATTTCTATAGATACACACGTGTCAATTTAATAATGAAGTCTTCGTTAGTCCTTATTCATATGTTAGGCTTCAAATCCTATATTTGTCTTCTATTTAAACTGTCATGTCCCCACCCTATGTCATCTGCGCACCTGACCCCTTCACCAAAATCGCCTTTTATTGCCCTATACAGAATAAGGTTACGATCCATCGTCTGTACTATAAGCTGTTTATTATTTTTGTACCAAACAACAGGAATTTACATACATAAGGTTCTAAACAATTGTCCATTTACCTACAGTATGACAATGATTTAGACACACTACCATACTCTGTAACACTTACCTATGGTATGACAATGATCTAGACAGACTACCATACTCATAAGGTTCTAAACAATTGTCCATTTACCTACAGTATGCCAATGATTTAGACACACTACCATACTCTGTCATACATAAGGTTCTAAACAATTGTCCATTTTCCTACAGTATGACAATGATTTAGACACACTACCATACTCTGTCATACATAAGGTTCTAAACAATTGTCCATTTACCTACAGTATGACAATGATTTAGCCACACTACCATACTCTGTAACACTTACCTACGGTATGACAATGATTTAGACACACTACCATACTCTGTCATACATAAGGTTCTAAACAATTGTCCATTTTCCTACAGTATGACAATGATTTAGACACACTATCATATTCTGTAACACTTACCTACGGTATGACAATGATTTAGACACACTAGCATATTCTGTAACACTTACCTACAGTATGACAATAATTTAGACACACTATCATATTCTGTAACACTTACATACAGTATGACAATGATTTATACACACTACCATACTCTGTAACACTTACCTATGGTATGACAATGATCTAGACAGACTACCATACTCTGTAACACTTACCTACAGTATGACAATGATTTAGACACACTACCATATTCTGTAACACTTACCTACAGTATGACAGTGATTTAGACACACTACCATACTCTGTAACACTTGCCTACGGTATGACAATGATTTAGACACACTATCATATTCTGTAACACTTACATACAGTATGACAATGATTTATACACACTACCCTTCTCTGTAACACTTACCTATGGTATGACAATGATCTAGACAGACTACCATACTTTGTAACACTTACCTACAGTATGACAATAATTTAGACACACTGCCATATTCTGTAACACTTACCTACAGTATGACAATGATTTAGACACCCTATCATACTCTGTAACACTTACCTAAAGTATGACAATGATTTAGACACACTACTATACTCTGTAATATTTACCTACAGTATGACAATGACTTATACACACTACCATACTCTGTAACACTTACCTACAGTACGACAATTATCTAGACACACTACCCTACTCTGTAACACTTACCTACAGTATGAAAATGATTTATACACACTACCATACTCTGTAACACTTACCTACAGTATGACAATGATTTAGACACACTACCATACACTGTAACACTTACCTACAGTATGACAATGACTTATACACACTACCATACTCTGTAACACTTCCCTACAGTATGACAATGATTTAGACACACTACCATATTCTGTAACATTTACCAACAGTATGACAATGATTTATACACACTACCATACTCTGTAACACTTACCTACAGTATGACAATGATTTAGACACACTACCATACTCTGTAACACTTATCTACATCAAGACAATGATCTAAACACACGACCATACTCTGTAACACTTACCTACAGTATGACAATGATTTAGACACACTACCATACTCTGTAACACTTACCTACAGTATGACAATGATTTAGACACACTACCATACTCTGTAACACTTACCTACAGTATGACAATGATTTAGACACACTACCATACTCTGTAACACTTACCTACAGTATGACAATGATTTAGACACACTACCATACTCTGTAACACTTACCTACAGTATGACAATGATTTAGACACACTACCATACTCTGTAACACTTACCTACAGTATGACAATGATTTAGACACACTACCATACTCTGTAACACTTACCTACAGTATGACAATGATTTAGACACACTACCATACTCTGTAACACTTACCTACAGTATGACAATGATTTAGACACACTACCATACTCTGTAACACTTACCTACAGTATGACAATGATTTAGACACACTACCATACTCTGTAACACTTACCTACAGTATGACAATGATTTAGACACACTACCATACTCTGTAACACTTACCTACAGTATGACAATGATTTAGACACACTACCATACTCTGTAACACTTACCTACAGTATGACAATGATTTAGACACACTACCATACTCTGTAACACTTACCTACAGTATGACAATGATTTAGACACACTACCATACTCTGTAACACTTACCTACAGTATGACAATGATTTAGACACACTACCATACTCTGTAACACTTACCTACAGTATGACAATGATTTAGACACACTACCATACTCTGTAACACTTACCTACAGTATGACAATGATTTAGACACACTACCATACTCTGTAACACTTACCTACAGTATGACAATGATTTAGACACACTACCATACTCTGTAACACTTACCTACAGTATGACAATGATTTAGACACACTACCATACTCTGTAACACTTACCTACAGTATGACAATGATTTAGACACACTACCATACTCTGTAACACTTACCTACAGTATGACAATGATTTAGACACACTACCATACTCTGTAACACTTACCTACAGTATGACAATGATTTAGACACACTACCATACTCTGTAACACTTACCTACAGTATGACAATGATTTAGACACACTACCATACTCTGTAACACTTACCTACAGTATGACAATGATTTAGACACACTACCATACTCTGTAACACTTACCTACAGTATGACAATGATTTAGACACACTACCATACTCTGTAACACTTACCTACAGTATGACAATGATTTAGACACACTACCATACTCTGTAACACTTACCTACAGTATGACAATGATTTAGACACACTACCATACTCTGTAACACTTACCTACAGTATGACAATGATTTAGACACACTACCATACTCTGTAACACTTACCTACAGTATGACAATGATTTAGACACACTACCATACTCTGTAACACTTACCTACAGTATGACAATGATTTAGACACACTACCATACTCTGTAACACTTACCTACAGTATGACAATGATTTAGACACACTACCATACTCTGTAACACTTACCTACAGTATGACAATGATTTAGACACACTACCATACTCTGTAACACTTACCTACAGTATGACAATGATTTAGACACACTACCATACTCTGTAACACTTACCTACAGTATGACAATGATTTAGACACACTACCATACTCTGTAACACTTACCTACAGTATGACAATGATTTAGACACACTACCATACTCTGTAACACTT